CTAGTGTCAAACTGCACATACAGCATTCACACAGCACACTGTAGGAATGAGAAGAACAACCGATTATTGACTGGAGGGGGCTTTAAAATCAATGGTAATTTGTTCCTGCCACAGTGCTGACCACCAGGTGAATGTAAGACCGGTAATCAGTCGGTTGATGAGAGTGGTGAGAATGAACCAGAACGTAAAAACTGAGGACCATGAAATCAAAACAGTGCGTTGGAAGGAACTAAACTGTTCCACTGAGCTGAGGGGAACTGCTGGGTTGGGTGATACAACATCTGTTGTCACTACAGGCAACCCCTTTCACATTACACACAGCCATTTATTCCATCTCATCTCAACCCAGGTGAGCTCTGGTACTGTTGGTCACTGACTGTGGATGGACAGGCAAGGTAAATGAATGAATTGTGACTTTAACCACTAGTTGTTAGGGTTTTCTTGTTTGTTTGTTTTTCTTGTCTTTCAGTTGCTCTTAAATCCAGTTCCAGGTAGTGAAAGTGAGATTCCTAAAAAGTTTTTAGCTTGGTTTCCTGAAACCTGCCCAGTAAGTGAAACCTCATCTCTGCAGCTCCTTGCCAAGGATTGCCAGCAGTCAGCTGCTAAAATCTCCTCTTCCACTGCGCTTAGCACTCACTCCTGCCGCCCTGTTGACAGCTTTCTTAATACAGATTCAGTAGAAGCTGGGCAGACCAACCACTCTTTCATAGTATGTTGTATTCTCACATTGCTATACTTTTACTTTCTGACCTCTCATATATGATTATCCTGTGTGCAAATTCCCAGCAGCACAGAGGCTTGTTAGGCAGAGCTTTTTTTCATTTCCTTGGTGTTTTTTTTTTAGAAATACTGAGCATTGAGTGCATCCACCAGCCTGTAGCTCTGATAGTAAGTGTAAATTGGCTATGGAATATGCCCTGCTGCTACTTTTAAGTCTTTAATGCGTCGGTTGCAAGCAAATAAATGCAGCTCGTTGCCATGGTAGCTATGGTAACTATTGGTTAGCACAACCTCAGGGGAGGTCGAAAATGCAGAGTAGCCAGAGCTTGCCAGCTCTTGTGTGTGTGTGTTTGTGCCACATGCTCGTGCCTGTGCGTGTGTTGTTGTTTCCGTGGAGACATCTCCTCTCAGAAATCCATAGTTTGCTATCATCTTATCAATCCTGTGTGTCCATGTTGTGTGGTGTTACTCCCACGGGTGTGTGCTGTTTGCACTTCACTCTCAGCAGCTCGCCCACCAGGCTAGCCCGAGCTTGTTTCACTGCCCTGGGTCTTTGACTGTGGCATAGCTGTGGGAAAACAGAGGTGCATGCGTGAGGGTTCAAAGGACATACAGGCTACGCTTATTTGAGGGATGTAGAGTTCCAAAATATCACAGAGCCCCAAATACACAAGAAAAGAAAAGCACAGACTTTCATTTGATACGATTTGTCTCTGTTGTTCATTATATGTTGTTATGTTATGATGTTTATACAGTGGGTCCTACTGACAGTTTTGTCAGAGGAAACACAACTCGTGGGGCTACGGATCATCCAGGATTCTCCCTGTTGTTTCCCTGGCACATTTTTTTTTATCCTGCTCACACAGTGTGAGGACTCATATAATGAAGGTTTGAGCTAGTGTGATGACAAGGGTGTGGTGGTCTTACCAGCTGCGGCCTTGTAAGCCTGAATGTGCAGTGATGAATGAGTTTTTGCCTCATTCAAAGTCGGGTACAGGCTCTGAAAATTCTGCCTGGCTGGAGTTCCCTCTGCGTTCAGGCAGCAAATATTACCAGCTCAAATTACCAAACCATGTGCACTGCAAAAAATGATCTGGATGGGAGTTTTGGGTTGGGTAGTGCAGTATTTTAGTGCAGTCTACTCTTATGTATGGCCTATTGGGAACATAAATCCAGTGGTTCTCAAACCGTGGGACATGGAGCCACTGCAGCCCCCCCGGTGGATGACCAGGGTAAAAATATGGGTGAATCTAAATTGAAGGAATATGATTTATATATATATATATATATTTTTTTTAAATGTATCAGTTGCCTACCCTATCATTGGTAATGATTGATTGTTAGGTGGTGGGGCCTTCATAAGAGGGGCACGCCAGCAAAAGTTTGAAAACCACTGGTGTAGGACTACGTCACTCATAGCAAGTGTTCAGGGCTTTAAAGGTAAGCAATTAAATCCTGGTGATATTGCACCACCGCTTCAGACTTCCTTCAGTTTAATTTTAAACTGAGTCAGTTTACAGCTCAGGCCTATATGAGCACTGTTAAAGAGGCAAATAACTTTAACCACCATTCTGTCTGCAGAGTTAATGCACCAGGTTTGTTTCTGTTTTTGTTTCGTTTAGTACGTTTGTCAGCGTTAATGATGGGTGCTGTATATCACAGCTGAGCTCACAGTTGATTGCCGGTGCTTTCATTCACCAGAGAGAGGAGCTAATGTTATTCATGTACTGATCACCTTTATTCTTATTTGCGTTGTATGACAGGTGACTCCCACCGTCAGCCACAAACCCGGTCGTTTTCTGGCTCCGGAAACTAACAAAAGTGAGGGTAGACAGTAAATGCAGATCCAGGCTTAATCCTGTCAGAACACTTCGGGTGATGTCAGTGTCCATGTTTCACTGTTGCCATCCTCATTACAGCGCCAAAACCAAAATAACCCTCCCAATACCACTGCTGCCAAATTACAGCAACAAACCTCATACATCTACTAACCCTGGATGTAACTGGCTGACTTAAAGCAAGGCCAGCTCCTTGGTGCTGTTAGCCTGGCTGGCTTAGCAGTACTCAACTGAGTGGCCTCAACCGCCTGGCCTGCCTCTGTGTGTTTTGGCGAGCAGCTCGTGTTGGCCCGTCTCCAGCATGCTGCCTGTCTGCCTACTTCAGATCCATATGCTGAATTATTGATAGACCGGTGGTCACAGAGAGAGAGAGGGAGAAAGCGATAGAGACCGAGAAGGAGGGGAAATTACACCGAGGAGAAGTAGGTGCACTCTGAGAGAAGGCAAGGTGCCCGAGGAGGAAGAGAGAGAGCGAGAGAGGATAGGGAGCAGTAAGGGAGAGAAGATGGGAGAGAGACAGATTAAAGAAATAGGAGCCTCTCTCACTGAACTCAACACGGATCAGCAACACCAGATACTTTTATTTATTCAGACGCTGCTGTGCATGTGAAGAAGAGCCTCTCTCTGCGTCGGCTGTAGGAACACACTGTGCTGCCTGCCTGCCTTTACCTCCCAACACCCTGCTGGACCATTATAGCCATGGTAGACGTACGCTATATCAATGGACGGAAGAGGGACGGGATAGTGCCCTGCAAGAGAGGGAATTTGCAATTTGAGATGTCAAAATAGTTGGGAGAGATTTGATTCCATATTTCTGTTAGGACGGGATTATAGTTGATAGGAGACGGTGGTTCCAGTGTTTCCCGGTAGAAGATGCCTTGCCTTCCACGAGCATTAGATCATATCTAAATACTGTCTACATTGTGTCATATGTCTCTGCTGGATTATATATCATGCTCCTTAGAGCTGCGTGATGTGGGCTCATGGTGTAGTATCCATGTTGTAGGCGTCTCTCTGCTATGCTTTTAAGCAGCCGTGCACTGTAAAAGCCTGTATACGCAGCATAGACCATAATGCATTCCACTGGGCCCTAGATACACAGCCATGGCACATTTATGTACAGTATTCACGTTTGATTTGTTCCAGTCCAGGGGAATAAAAGTGAAACCATGTGATTAAAATAAAAGCTCTTTTAAAGGGGCTGTCCACTGATTTTACATCTCAGCCTGTAAAAACCATTTAATAATGTCTGCTGTGGCTCTGCATGGATTTATCAAATCAGATCACTTGATTAATTTGCTTAGAAACTAGA